CTGCTGAGCACATCTCGAGAGCCAGCACTTACAGATCAGTAGTATACTCAGGAAGGTGACTGGGTAACCGGGTGAGTTTTTGGTTAGAGCAGTCTACAATTGTTCCCTCGCAGCGACACTTCTCAGGACAGACAAGGTCCATGAAACACTTCCCGGTGAATTTACTTCTGTAATCCTCTGACCCTGCAATAAAAGGAAAAGATATTCTGGCAAATAGTTCCTGATAAGTGCAGCAATCAGAGATTTTATGGAATCTATTCTCAACACACTGCCTCCTGTCAGCTCCCAGCTCTTGTACACAATTTTAATACTTGCCAAAGATTTCTGTTCAGCAATTTTTCAAAATATTCCCAAGACTAGCCCCTGTTTTTTTCACTTTTCCCTTGACAGATTAATTCTTGTCTAACTAGCCTACCTGTTAAGGTATTTTTTAAAGCATTTCTAATTTGCTGTTGGAATCTGCTTCAAACGAGCTCTAGCAAAGTCACATTTTCCCATTTGGAATTTAGTCCAGCAACAAGGAAAAGGGATCTCATGAAAGCAGGAGCTATCTTGGTGCATTCAAATGACAAAGGATTCTTAAAGATGCCATTAAAAAGCCCAAAATTTTCAGACCTCAGCTATTACAGTTATTTTTGAGAGCAATCTTTTATGAGAGAACCTTGTCAATTTTCCAACAATTAGATACCTTTATTAACTATGTTAAGCAAACAGAAAAGTAATAGCAGTTTAAATCATTTTCATTTTAATTAAGGAATGGGCAGACCATACTTAGTGAGAAGCACTCCCTAATGTACCATTATACCATGATTGCCAGACCTCTTTGACTAGTTTTTTGACCCGTTTTAATGAAATGCTATTCCAATTACGCTCAGTGAACTAATCTGTCCTTTTCAGGTTTGGTTTTTCTCTTTTAATAACAGTAGGTTGGAAACTTGATCTCTGTGCTTCAAGGAACCAGGAGTATTAATAAATGCGTATGTAAGCAGAGCGTTGCCAAGACCCCTCCATGCAATACCTGCCCACTCACTTCGTATTTCATAATGGAAGCACCAGAATTGTCCCAGGAACCTTGTGTAATGTGCAGTGATCGTAATTACTAAGAAGTACTTTTTAAACGTTTCCACAGTTTTAAAAGTCAATTGCAAGGTCTCCCAGGAATTATCTGAGCATGTTCAGTTTTTAAGAACCTCAAAACATCAATAAAAACTCAAACCTGAACTTAAATTTTTTTTAGAGACTTGATGACATTCATCACCTGCTTCCCCTTCCTAAACTGATAAATATACAACTGCTCATTTTATGACTGCATACTACTTTCTGTAAGGAAAAAGGTCACCTAAACCCACTATCATTTTAATTTATGTTACACATTACCTCCACAGGGTGATGCAGTGAAAGCAAAGCAATTCTGCAGGTCATCTAACAATTTGACTCCACTGGCACACTTCAGTTTAGTTTTGCAATTCCAAACCAGATTATGAGAAACTTCACGTACAGCTTTGTATATTACCACTTCTGTGGTGCTAAATACTTTGCATGTTATCATACTTCTTGTAAATTATACATCTACAGTGAGATGGCTACTGTTTTTTAGCTTAACCATACAGTACTTAAAATATTAGGACCACTGGGCATTTGAAAGTACTATAAAAATACACTCTAAGCCTTTCCCCACACCACTATCATTTCAATTCTTATCCTTTCAAAAAAACCCATCTGATTTCCAGTCCTAAAATTCCAGGCTTGGCAGTCAGGCTAAAATGTCAAGTGATGAGCATATTACGGCTTGATTATGAGAACATACAACTATTCTTTATTAGGCCTATGATACATTACATTTGGTTGTTTATGATTCCTTGGAAATAATGCCAAATATGAACAGTTAACAGGACCAGAGTTTATTAAAACTGCTACAATTACAGTATGCCTTGAAAATCCCACAAAATTTTTCAGTGATCAGAAAGTGTCTTGGAAATCCCCAAATTAACTCTTGAAGAAGCATTTCTAATTTACATTGTAAAAGCTTTTTTGAAAGAATAATCACAAACATTATAAAGTTACACAGGGTAAAAATTTATTTAGTATAATTTTTAGTCTACTGATGGATACACGATTCATCTTCCTATGGGAAAAAAGAAGGATGGGAAAGTAAGTAGAATGCTTTATGCAGGAGAAAAAGCATTATAGAACATTAGAGGGTGAAAATCAGGGTTTTGTTTTCTCCCAAGTTTTCTGTCAAAGCAAATAAAGAATATTTACCACATTTTGACTTAGCAGTCTCACTCTCTTGATGGCATACAACTTTCCACACTTCATCAGCTATAAGAAGTTGATCTTCCCTGGGCATCGGTCCACTGCCTCCACACTTGGCAACAGGAGAAAGCTCCCTCAGCTCAGCAGGAGAGGAAGGGAGCAAACATCACCTTGTAATTTTCTTTCTTTCTATCTCTCTCTTTTTTTTTTCCCCTTTTACTTTTTTTTTTTTAAATTCTAAATGAGTTTAAATAAGTGTCATCCAGGTAAGCACTGAGTCAAAAGTAATCAACAGCATGCATATGCTCACCAAGTACTCAGTCATCTGTTAGACTGTGAGACAGCAGAAATCACCTGCCAAAGACCAGATAAAATTTACTATTTGACCTGAGCCTTGAGATCACTTGGACAGGTGGCTGTTCTATTAAGATATTCCCATCTGGGATACTAATGTGAAATTCAGCCATCTGCTTGCAGAACTATTTAAGTGAGTATATCCATTTCTACACACGGGCTTTGTCAGTGTACTGCTGCAGGGCTTTGAGTGAACATGACAGGATTCAGGAAGTACAATTAACCATCACATCTTGCACGCTATAAAATCACCTGTGGAAAGCCATGGATAAGAGATGCCAGACAGGCATAGAAGAAACACTTGGCTTCATTTCACTGTTCCAGACCAACCATTTGGTCATTTTATTATACCTGAAAGCTTGTGTGCATTGTAGCTGAGAACTCTGTGAAGCTTGGCTGAATGCAAAACATGACCTGAGAGTTTTCTAGTAATTTCCAAAATTAAAAAGAAGCATTGCAATTCCTCAGTATCATAAAATAAATATACACTCCATTCTACAAAACAGCAGTATTGAGATAAAGAAACACCACATTTCCAAGTGCTCAAAAATTTTAGATGCCTTTCTAATACCCACATGGAGAAATTAAGCAACAGAGGCAAATACTTTTTTGTCCTATTGTTCTTTATAAGCATTGTTTAGCAAACTTGATTGCAAACTTGATTTCAGTTTTTAAAATTTAGCTTTGCCTAAAGGACTTAAAAGGCATGCTGGATGACCTGTTCTGGAAAAAAAAAAATCAAGTTGTCTCAACAAGGGCTTGAATACTGACCTGATATATTCATTCTACAAAAGATGGATCCAGCTGCCTCAAATTTGGCACCAAAAATATGATAATAGAATCACAGAATGGTTTGGGTTGGAAGGGACCTTAAAGATCATCTAGTTCCAACCCCCCCTGACATGAGCAGGGACACCTTCCACTAGACCAGGGCTACACATAGATCACTTGTTCTAAAACTTGGACAAAAATCAGAAATCCTTACACTCATTTCTTCAAGGAGAAACACTGTTTGTCATAATTTCACATTGGTAGTATTAATTCTTATCAGTAATTACAGAAAAAAACATCTAAGAATTTCAGATGTCCTCATCCTGATGGGTCCACAACAGATATGTAGCAAATGTGCAAGATGAGACCGTATTTCCGTGTAAGAAAACTTCTGCATGAGACTCTCAAAGTCCTTTATGAATAGGTGTAATTATCTCTACTTTACATAGGCAGGAAGTTAGGCAGAAGTATGTCAAAGATCTTATCTATCTCTTGAAGCTAAAATGGCCCATTTGGGTATGCTGACTCAGCTTTGTGCTATGTGACTATTGGATAATGCTGTTTTCTTACAGGCCATGTTGCTCATGTCATTTCAAGAGATAAAAGACAATGCTTTGCAGACTCTTCTGAAATTCTTCTGCAGTACACTTCTTCATAATGAAATGTCAGTGCATTAAGATTGCTCCAATCAGGTCCAAAGTTACGTTAAGTAGCAGGCAACTTGTTACAGAAAAAGCAACCACAGTGTACCTCAAGTAGAAGGACTCACTGGACAGCTCAAATAGAGAGATGTAGCTCACATTATTTATAAGTTAAGAAGACAAAAAAGACTCGTATCTGTAGGCATGGCTGGAATCACACTTGGATCATATTAATAAATAGGATACCTAACTTCTTCATTATAAGAGCAATTAAACAGATTAATTACTTAGAAATGGTTATTCTGCATGCAAGCCCCCTGGAAAGTCTCTCACAAACATCACCAGTACTCCCCCCTGCAGTGCCCAGTAGTCTGGTTAAGCAACACTTCACTTTCTTCATTTTTCCTGTGAGAAAAGGGGAATCTCTCACCTTTTGATGCTTCTGAAAACAGCAGAAGATTCCCAGCATGCCATGCGGCAGGGAGTATGCAGCCTTCCATGGTGCTTGACAGAACCATGTTCAATTTGTATTGTTCTACCACATGGTTAGATCAAGCACAAAGGAAAACTCCATGAACAGCCAGAGTCAGAGTTAGGCAGCACCAAAGAGAGAAGAGCGTTGAGAGGAAGCAGCATGGAGAAGCACAAGCTGAAGGTTCACAGAGAGCTGCTCTCCACTCCACCCATGCAAAAAGGTGCTGGATACAAGAGGTCATCCTTTACGCTACAACTGCAGGAACACCCTGGAGCACAATTGGGGTTAGTGTACAAGAACAGAGCTCAGGCGAATTCAGAGACAGAACTAATATGACAGAAAATACTACCAAAGCACAGCAAACAGCTCCTTCCAGGAAAGTTGTGCAACTTCCAGCATGTATTGAATGCCCATCTACACTGCTCTTTAATAGCTACTTATTCTCTGCTGATGTCTCCTTTTGGTATAAATGCCATTTTGGTTTGCTCCTTTTATTTAAATGCAATCTTAGAAATACCACAGCTCATATTAATAACAACAGATTCTGAGCTGATGGCCAAGCTCTGGCATTAAATGCTCCCCAAGCTCGCTTTGAGCCTGATTTCTGCTCCTAGTGGCCTTTCATGCTGGTGGCACTTACACTGACAATCTGTAATAACCACTACTTTTTCTTTTTTCCTTTTTAC